CCAATTATAACAAATTTACACCGAACAGATGTCCATGCTTGCAAGTGAAGCCCAATGGAGACGGGTGGTAAAATAAAGGACAAAAATTTACCCGTTTTAAATGCCATTGTTTCGTGGACATGGTTGAATTTCAGCAACACACACATAAATAACCACATGGAAGGCATCGCTCTTTTTACGAGAGGGTCACATCAATGCAAAAAACTTATCGATACCACCAAAGTTCATGTACAGCATGGGACGAACTTTCTTGCTCGTATGGGTTTTTTATGAATGCAAAGAAGTTGGTCAGAAAGTGGCCAGACAAAGGCAAAGCGTTCTATTCGTTCATCAAACCATGATCTGATATGTGACCCAGCTAAAGGGATGCGAGAGGAAAAAGGCAATCGACGAATGGAATGGACTCACGTGATCACCACACCAGACCTGGATAATATCCTCTGGTGTGGATGTGGCTTTGAAAGCAGCGTTAGCAACGGCTGTAAGGTCAGCCAATGTAGTGCCAGGTGGTGCTTGAGCAGGCACAAAGGTCACGTTGGTGGCCATAAGTTGGGTCGCATTTTCACCACCGCCTCCACTTCCACTGCCAGTGCCAGCTTGCATAGAACCCATATGTCCATTGGAATGCTGTGATTCTAGATGTCGAAAAAATTCTTATGCATTTTGTTGCATCCACTAATTGGAACTCAGTAAAAGCTATAAAAAAACCGGAACTACCATCAGCTATCCATCAGTCTTAAACTCAGCTTCTCCATCAGACAAGTGAGTCCTAGTGTTTCCAAGATAAAACTGATTTCCGAAGTTAAAAAAAAGAGAGATGATGTGCCCAATCCAGTTTGCACTGGAGGACAATAAGAACACTACCTTCACAGTTTGTGGCATTGTTTGTAGGATTTTGCGAACTGTTGGACATTTGATCCACGGGCACTGAGGTGGCAGACTCCACCAATTCTAGCATTCGACGAAACTCATATTCCATCACCTTACGAATGGTTAGTGTTTCGTTGGCCGATAAACGCTCCCGATTGGCAACTGCCACACCTGCAGCAGTTGCTGCCGCATTTGTTGTTGACGGTAAACTGAAATGGGAAAAGCCAAGCATGCCTGATTTCATATCCCTCTTTGTGCTCTCACCCAATCAGAACACCTTAGCAGCGGTGCTGCCGATGCGACGGTAACCACCACTCTGACCACCCAGCCGACCGCGGTTAAGGGTAAGCACTAGAAACTACCGCCGGAAGAAGGAAAGTGAAGTGAGAGGATCTGACCTATGTGAGTGATAGCCTAAAGTCTAAGTCTTAATTTCTTACACATGACTGAAAGACAACCTCAAGGGCAACTTGTTTTTGATAACTTTTGGCAAAACTTTTAAATAATGACTAGCATTCCTTACGTCTTTGACTTGGGATTGGTAATTTTGAGATCCTGTGTGAGGCAAAATGGTATCTTTGCCGCTTTGATAGGTTTGTGCTAGAAAGAGAAGAAGGCATCAAAGAGTG